TATATGAATGCTTTCAGCACAATTTGTTGAGTGTTGACTGTATTTTAGTTATTTGAGGTCCACATTCATGGTCCAAAACTTTCGAAGTCAAATGTTTTCAAAATTCCAAAGTTTTGAGATTTTAAAAGGGCAGTAAGGAGCGTCCACCATATATTATATAACAACTCTAGCAAAGCCTGTGGCACAAGCAAACCTCTGAATATTTCTGCAGTGAACCATGTGAATAGTTACATTAAGTGTGATCATTAAGATAGTAAATAGCTTCACATCTATTCAAGCTTTTGCTGCCAAATGAGTTCAGATGAAAAGTTCTGCCACAATTAAGCAAAAACTTTGTGTAGTTTTTAGATTTTCAAAATTATGAACAAGGGATTGTGGACTCGTACAGAAGGTATAGACTATTGGTGTCCTTTGGGTAAAAAGGGTGTGGAGTTAAGGGTCCTAGGTCCATTTCCTTCTTCAATAGGATTAGATCTCTCTCTCTTTTTTTTTCCTTTGCATATTAACAGGTTTTAGGCATTGATGCTGACTGACTTTATATGCCAGTACAAGTTACTATTGCCTCTGGGTTTACTAGCAAAAACAGATAAGTGATTTTGAGAGCTTTTAATCAGGGTACACATAATCTTGAAAGCAGCATAGATCTGAGATACAGAACGTCCAAATATGAAATCCATCCCCTCAGAGCTGTGTAGTCCTTTTTCCATGAATAATTCCCATTAATATACCTCTATGCAAGGATGTTTATATAATCTGTGCTAGGGTTTCTCTATCCTCAGCACTATTGACATTTTGGGCCAACTGATCCTTTGTTTGGGGGCTGTCCTGTGCATTTTAAGATGTTTAGCAGCATCCTTGGTCTCTACTCACTAGATTCCAGTAGCAACGCTCCTCTCCCTAGTGTGACAACCAGAATCACCTCCAGACATTACCCAGTGTCTTGGAGTGTGGGGTAGGAATCACCCCTAGTTGAGAAGCACTGAGCTATGCATATGTGTGTTTATGGACATGTGTATATGTTAGAGTATTATTAGAAGTTAGACTCTCCATGGTCCTGCCTTACTCAGCTTTAATTGAACAGATGCAACAGAAAGTTTCCACCTGAGTCACATATACGTTTGGTGATTGTATCTTCTCTACAAAGGACCTGTTCATTACCAGTGCTTCTTCACAGTTTAAGATGCATTTGAATCACCTATAAGTCTTGTTGTTAAATTTGCAGATTCCAATTCAGTAGGTGGGGGTGGGCCTCACATTTTGCGATGTAACAAGCTCCTAAGTGATGAGCCAGGACCGAGTATAGATGATGAGGCTTTGCTTTTTATATATCAGATGTTTTCTGGAAATGGTATTCTGGCTGAATATTATAACCCAATAATTGTTCATTATTGATTATACCCCACTCTGTGGACATAGCCTATATTCCTGACCTACAGGGCTATCCATTTTTTCATAGGGAACATCAGGTAGGAGAGCATGTCTGCATTACTGGAAAATTACTGAATATGCATATCATAGGTTGTTGGTCAACAGCTAAATTTTCACCTAAAAAAGATAGTAAATAATTTTAGTTCCAATTTGTGATTTTCCTCACACAGCCCAAAGATTAAAATATAGGACTATATAATAGCTACCATTCTTTATTTAATGGCAGTGATGTGTTGCCAAGCATTGAGCTAAGTCAATACATTTACTAGTTATAATTTTCATGGTAATCTTATAAGGTTCAAGATTATTATTTCTGTTTTACAGCTATTAAAACTGAGTCTCAGAAAGGTCAGGAAGGGGCAAAGCCTATGCAGTTTCTGCATGCCACATCGTCTCTCCAACAAAGAACACAAACTGTTGCATAGAGCTGATCCACATGCAAAGTGTCTTTCTCAAGGAATGCTCTCTGTATTAGAGAAACTGTCAATTTAGAGAAAAATTCTCATCATTATGGTTACATTCTTTTTAATTCATATCTTATAGAGCTGTGTTTTTTAAATGTTCTCACTTACATCTCCTAAAATAATTATTTTGTTATGTA